ACCAGACTGCAAGAGAATCAGATTCACCAGTCTGCAGCACTGAAGCAACAGCAAGAAAAAAAACCAGACCATTGCTTCAATATGTCAACCTTGACCTTGTAAGTAATATACAGTTAAAGGAACAAGGTTACACTTACAGAAAGATACAATTTCATGATGTAAAGGTTATGAAACTAGAGACTCAGCTCCACCTAACTCTGATTCAATACCAAGTCTTAATAGTTTTTCCATTATAAACAGTTACCTGCAGAAAGAGCCCACATCCCCATCATTCTTAGATTTGACACACACCTAACTCCATTAGAAATGTGTATACCTCAAATGCCAATTTCTGCTGTCCAGCTTACATGGTTCTAGTTCAGAGCTTTTCCCTGGACTGTCTCCAGGCAGGCAGTAATGATCAGATGCCATACAGGTCACTCATTGCCATATATGCCTGGCAAAGTCTTCAACAGATTTACACAAGGCTTAGGGAGGAAAAAATATTTACAGATGTGCTAAAAGCTGAGAAATGCACCAAAGCAGGAGCTGGACCAGCTGCTGACAGATGCGTAAACCCATCTGCCGGGACAATGCACCTACAATCAGGAGTGTGCAGTCACTAGTCAGCATTTTAGCTGGAGAGATTTAGAAAGGTTATGTGCTATAACCTTTAAGACTTCCCATATCTTTGACAGGCTGGATTATGTTATTTCCTTGTACAGAGGGTTAGAGTTCACTTGAGAAAATATAATTCTAATATACTTGCAAGTGTGAGAAAAGATAACTGAAGAGTGCTGGCCAAAATGTAAAGTTTTAGCAATAACTGCAGCATTTTCCCCTGAACTGGGTGTGGCTGAATTGAGTCCCAGCTGCCCAGGTGGTGCTGCAGTGGGCCCTGGCAGGCAGAGAAGGGCTGATGCCAGCCCAGCGTTCTGGCTGCTGCTGAGCAGTGCTGACCCCAGCCCCAAGGCTGCCCCCTCACCACCCTGTGGGGCTGGGCAGGATCTGAGAGGACAGCCAGGACAGCTGACTCCAGGGATATTCCCCATCACAGACATCTGCTCAGCAGTAAAACCTAAGAGAAAGAAGGAGGGGGGATTTCTCATTACAATATTGGTCTTCAGAAGCAACTGCTCAAGGTACCCAAGCCCTGCTCCCCAAGAACTGCCTGGAGATTTCCTGCTGCTGATGGGAAACAGAGAATACATCTTTTGTCCTCCTTTGCTTCCCCACGCATCCTTTGTTTTTAATCAACTGCCTTTATTTTGACCCACACATTTTTTTTGTATTTTATTTTCTCCCAGCCATCCTGCTGAGGAGGGAAGCAGCTTGGAGGACACCTGTAATCCATCCAACCAAGGTCAACCCACCACACTCCACAAAAAGTCTTTCATACTTTTCTTTCTTTTTTTAAAGACCATCTGAAATGCTCAGAGCTGCTCATATCAGAACACTGGTTCATTTCCAAAAGTTACAAATCCACAAGGCCAGTATTAGTGAATTTCCAAGAATCCAGTTTAAGATCCCACCCAGTTACCTTGCTGCTTATCTAAGAAATGGTTCTGAGCAATCTGGGAGATAAAAAAAATAAATAATGAAATATAAATCAAGTACACCAGCAGTCACAGACAAAAACACACTCTCCAAATACACCTGTGAATGCTACTTAAATTTGTTCCCATGGGAAAAATTGAAGTGCCAAATACATTTACAGTAGAGATGAAAGGAGGAGTTTTTCCTTCAGAAAAGGTTATTGTTGCTTGCTACAGAACACCATAAGAACAAAAGGATTTTTAGGAAAGAAAGCTAGAGGAAGGATGCAAAACGAAAGAATCAATTTCAGTATAAACAGGTTTTTTTTTCCTAGGTATTCAATGATTTGTTTTACAAAACAACCTCCCCTTTACCTAAAAACATGAATACAGCTGAAACCTGTGCAGAGCACTGATGCAAAACTTAACATTTCAAACACTTATGATATTAAACAGTCTATGTATGGATTCAAAACTCTTCCTGAAATTAAATTCCTTTAAACAATATATACTGTCAAAGAGTTCTAAAATTAAGTCACTATGAGAAGGAAAAAAACTTTATACTATAAAACAGATGCAATTTGGCTCTGAAAAGTGATCACATAAAAATGTCACATTATTCATAAAAATTTAGAAGACTGCAGTATAGACTTGGGGAAAGCCAACAAAACTTAAAACAGAGAGAGCAGGATGATTCATCTACTAGGAATTAAATCAACACTGACTTTCCAAAAGAGGTAGATCTGCATAATAATGACACAGAAAACTAGGGAATAAGAACTCAACAAGAAGTTTTAAGCAAAACATAACAATAAGCAAGCAGATAAATGCAAATGTAGAAATCTTAAAATTAAAAGATGACAGGTGAACTGAAGTGTCTGATTTTACACACAATAGGAACCTCACAGAAATCAGTAAAAAAACATCCAGGGATCAATGCAACATCTGATCAAAAGAGGGTAGCAGAGAGGTCACAGAGACAAGGGACCTGTGTGACGCATCACAGAAATCTTAAGGGTCAAATAAACTGAAACTGGGAATGACACAGCTGCTGAAGCACCTTCTACAACAGGAGCATCAATGCACTCAAATTACACAGTCTTATAAACCAAAAAACAGAACTCATAGCCAGGAAAGTATCTGTAATTTCACTGTAGTTTCAGCAAAGGGAGATTTGTGACAATGACAATGCTGGCAATAAAAGCAGCAGGTAAAAGGACAGAATGCAAGTATCATGAGAACTTTTTAAATGTTAAAAAGGAACACTACATCACCAGAGACTTAAAAGCATCCTGGAACAGTTCTATAAAGCAAACTTCAGAATTGGGAAGTGTGTCCAAAAGGAGAAACAGTAAATGCTTCAGAAATACAGTTAATATTTTTGACATCTATGAAGAATTTGGAGGAGCATATTGCTGGAGGAATCAATATTTTCCTCAAACATATCACAAGCAAAGGAAACCTGTCAGCAAGCTGAAAAGGTCAAGAATTTTTTTTCTACTGTGGCCTTTTACTTTTCTGTACTTTTTGCATCTTAAGCTGTTTGTGCATCTTAGTTCATTTACAGAGAACACTGAAAAGCTACACACACAGGAGTGTTTCTCTGTGGAAAAGAGCCTCAGAAGCTGCCTTGGACTGAAGCAATTTTTGCAAAGAAACAACAAAATTTACATTTAGGAGTGCTCACTCTTTGTTATCACTCACCCAGGAGTTCCAAAGGAATTCAAAAGGCATGAACTGTTACAGTCAATTTTGGTTTTAAATACTCTAGGAGGATTCCACAGGCTGCAGATAAACCCATACCAAGCAGATAGTGAAAATTTACAATAAAAAGAATTATCATCAGGCACATCAGCAATTCAAGTATCATACAGAAGAGTCAAAACAGCACTGGCAGAGCAGTATCAGGCTTCCCTGATCAAAATTCTTAAAAGGAACAGGGAAGGAGGGAAGAAACTATTTGCCTGAGACAACATATCTGAGTTTCTTTACAACTTTCAAGAAAGTCTTTACAAAAGTTCTTGAAATAGAGGGAAAAAAAGGAAAAAAAACCCAAAAACCAAACAACCCACCCAACCAAACTATAAATGAAAAAGCTGAGCTGTTGTGGGATAAATCACAGCCCTCAGCAACACGTGATGTTTCTCTATCTACTTACTTTCACTGCTACTTGTTGGAAAATATAAACATTAACACTCGGTGATTGCTGTCCAAGCTACCAAGAATGTTCCTGCAAGCCTGCACAAACCGAAATAGAAGATTTGCTGTTATGCCCATACACTCATCAGGCTGCTCACAGTAACTGCATCCAAGAGCAAACTTCACCTCTTGTTTCTTGCCTTTCTCCCTGGGTCATGTTTTGCTTTAAGTCACAACCTCATCTCACTGTTACTACAGGGATACTACAACAAAAACATTCATCTCTTCCCTACTATCTTTGTAATTTCACTCAGAAGAAAAGTGGAGATAGGAATGCCATGAATGATTCACAAAAGGAAGAACAGCTACAGAGATTCCTTTGGTACAAATCTTCCCAATGACTAAAACATCAAAGCTTTTACCAATTTATCAGCTCTCAGCAGCGAGGCTGCTACAAATCTCTGAGATCCAGAGAAGCAACACTCACTCTGTAGGTGGCACACAGGAATGTGCCACATACCCAGTAATTACCCCATCATTCATGAATTAAATTATTCTACCCTGGGACAATACTGGGAAGTTGAGAGTTATGTAAAATACTGTTAAAAACAAGACAAATGAAGACAGTTCATTTATTTCTAAACATTATTTTCCTGTGACAATACTTAAAAGAAGTAGCGAAGGCAAAGGATGCAGTTTGACAATAACCTCAGGAAAAGAGACCCTTGAAATCTTTTAGAAATTGACTTACTGCTCCCTTGAGAAATTTAGTGCCAAGCAGCTCTGCAATAAAGAAAGCTTCACTGACCAAAAAGAGCAAGCTGTCAGCTGTGCTTGCAACCATGTTCAGAATAGCACCTAACCAAGTGCAGCCCAAAGGAGCATCAAGGGACAAAAACCTCTTCATGGCAACACTCTCTGGTTTTGTTCATTCCAGCATTTTTCCTCCTCACTTTTTTGGTGTTTTCTACAATGTAGAAGCCTTTGGGCTTCCAATGAACCTGCATTTTCTTTCTGTCAATTACTCTCCACTTTGGTCTGTTTCCAACCCATTCCTGGAGCCCTCCCCACTGCAGGGCCAAGCCAGCTTTGGTTAACAGGAATTAGGTGATTACTTAGTATCTTTTAAATGGCTGAAGCAAGTAGCTGGAGATACAATTTAGATTTACTGTAACATGATAAGGACAAACACTTTTGTCACTGTGCCAACAGCCCTGCAAGCCCACCTTGACACGGAACACTGAGCATAATCCCACTGTCATCCCTGATTAACAAAGTAGATACAGAAAATGAAAATGCAGTTTGTCGTAGGGATCATAAAACCCACCTTCATATCCAGAGCATTACCTTGCCTGTGCTTTGTAAGATTGTGGTTCTTGTCCTCCATACTCTCTCCCTGCTGACAATATCTCTAGTTACATCCACTTCAGCATCAACAAAACTTCTCTGTTTGAGAGCAGTTATGTCATCATCCAGATCAGTTTTGATAGTGGATCTTTTCTTCGCCATGATTTTGGCTTTGATAGCAGCAATTTTTTCCACTGACATAGCTTCAGACAAGGACCTAAATGAGCAAAACAGCAGAGACTGAATTTTTGCACAAACAAATCTTCCAAAAGAATATCTGAATAAGTAACTTCATTCTGCCAAAGTTTAAGGCTGTGCTATAAACCACAAAACAGCCATCTAATATACACACTGAAATATTATATAGGCTTGGCATTTCTGTTTTGGGCACGTGAATCCAATTTTTGACAAAAAACTCACAGAACTAACACAAAGACCATCCAAAAACCCTAACTATACCAAACAAAAATAAAGAACCCAAATGTAAAGCATCAGGACTAACACCTTCATTTATAACAACATGCAAATTTCAGTTTCCTGTTATTTTTAGTGGATTAGAATTTTGTCAACCAACACCTGGCCGCTCTGAGGCTTTCAAAGCATTACTCTAAACCTTGGCTGAGGTGCTTGGTCCCTTGGAAGATGTGATACCATCTCAGACCATGCAGGTCAGCAAACAGATGGTGGGAACCTTGTCCACATTAATCTGGGTTTGAGAGAACTCACTCGAGTCCAAGAGAGCAACATCTCTGTGTGTTTGTTTTTAACTGTAAACGGCATTGGGCTATCAGTGAGCCCTACTGTTTTGCAGGTGAGCTGAAGAAAAAAAGCTCAAGACTGAATTGCACAACACTAACTGTCCATACCAAATTTACTATTACATAGGGTTGTTTTTCCTTTGAGAACACATGACAAAATGAATGCAAGTACTGGCTGTGAAGCATTCTCCTTTGTAACTATGTCATGGGGAAAGGAACTTGTTTGTGCTGCTGCTTGGCGCACAGCAGGGTCAAGCACGGAGTTGAAACTCACCACCTGTAAATATTTGTACTTTTTTTAAAGGGGTAGTTGTTTAGAGAATATAAACTAATTCAAACAACTCACTGCAGCATTGCAAAGTTGCAATATAATGTGGATGCTACCTTGAGTGCTAGTTAATACAAAATCACACATAGTTGAATTTTCTTATGCTTTCTACCTATGCGACAAACAGATTTTTTTTCTATCATTTCCTTCTAAATATACCTATATGAGATAGGAAGAAATCACTCAAAGTACATATTTTTCATGTGCTTAGCTATAATTATGGATTTTATAAATGCCTCAAATCTGCGCTGTCATGAGTGTTTCAAGGTCTAACTCCTCGAACATTACTGAGAGTATCAAAGAGGAAAATTGCCATTGAGAGCTGCTGGACAGAAGCAAAAGTGGCTGCTTTTAGCAGAAATTGCTCTCCATCCTGTAATTAAGCATTAGGCATAAGGAGCATAATCCCACCTGATCTGCTCTGTTTGCACGATGCCCTCTTTGTGTCCTTCCAGCCGAGCTGCCAAGCGCTCCTTGTCCAGGCGCACACACTCTTCATCCTGCAAGGAAGAGTCTTGTTTAAGTTCTGTGCACTCTCTTTTCACGTAGAAACACAGCTAGAATTAAAGCTATTCACAAGTATTTTCTTCACATTCGCAAGGACAATCTTTATTTTCAATGATTTTTGATCTGAACATTAAGTCCAGAGCTATTGGAATCACAATTGTTCAAATCTACACTTGTAATCCCTTCCAGTTCCCATTCCCATGGAATTCTAGTCCTTTTCATTTCCCATTCCCATGGAGTTCTAATCCCTCCCAGTTCCCACTCCCATGTTACCTGTACACCAAAGGACGGGTAACCCAATGGAATTCCTACAAAAACAGATGAACGCCCTCATTTACCTCCACCAACAATTTATACTGATGATAGTCACTGTCATTACCTCTATTCTTGGTTTCTTTGCTTCTGCTAATATTTCATCTGCTGCTCTTTTAACTAGAAGAAAAAGAGGACATTAAAAATGCAAGATTGTAGTAGATTTTGATAAAATAACCTCAAAGTTATTTTATAGTTAAACTGTACCTTGAGTGGATCGTTGAAGGCCAATTTCAAGTGGAGCACTTCTGTCTATGCTTGATGAAGTTGCTGCATTCAAACAGAACATTCAGTTTAAAAAGAAAATATTTGCAACAATATTTGGGTATAAAAGAAGGACAACAGACAAAGTGCAACAATGGAAGCTCTACATATTAGGTAGCAAAGGTGGTAAAAGACTGGGAGTAGTGGAACTAATCAGAACCTGACAAGGTAAAGTTAAATTATGTTGCTCAGGGTCATCTGGCCCTTCTTTGAAAAGTGCATCAGACCAGGTGACCTCTTCTGGTCCATTCCTACATAAATTAATCAGTGATTAATTTGATCTCTATATACCACTCATAAAAAAACAGTCACAATGAGAATTAGACTCAAAAATCAAGATCTACTGGCTCGTCTAGTTTTGGTGGGTTTTTTTTTAAAGGCAACCTGGTGATCCCTTCAAAATATAAAGTGAATTTACTCAGCATTACAGAAATAATATCATACTCCAGGATATTTAAAATTTAAAGACCACCTACAAAGCAGAGGATCTTACAAAGGTGATATTTCTGTTTTTCTCCGAGAAACCTCTTTCTGACTATTGCTAACAAAAAATTAAGATGATGAAATGCTAGGCAAACCTGCCAGACTGACAAAGCAGTAATTCCATATATTCTATTACACTGAAGATGTCATCCCACACATTTCTTGCATTCAAGATGACTGTACTACTGAAAGCTTCCCATAGTCTAAGAAAGGAAAAAGCATACATGATAAGCATTCTAATACAGAATTATTAACCAAAGTAGGTTAATAGTAATAATAATGTTCACCTCTATACATGCATGTAGGAATGCAGCCCGTATCCAAGCAAAACAGTTCATTTAAGAACACAATTAAAAATGCAAGAAATAATAACTTTGTTTGAGAAGTTTAGCACATTCAGTTCAGATGCAAACTGCCTATTTGTCACAAGCCTTCCCCTCCTAGCCCTCCCTTGTGCCAAAAAAATGAAGCAGTAAAGAGTAAGGTGTGTCCAAATCAAAAGAACATATCACTCACATGTTTCCCCATTTAGGTATGCAAGCAAGTCTTTCCTATCAGGTCTTCTTACCACAGGAATGTTTTCAGTCTGAAAAGACAGCAGATGAGACATTAAACTCTTCTTCCCTCACAGAGACTCTGGCTGAAGATTTTTCACTTTTACTGAAAACTACTCATTCACACCAAGACATGACCATGTGTCCTGCCACCCAAGGAAGTTTAACTATCAAGATTAAAGCCCAACCACATCCTAGAGGATGTTCAGCTACACAGAATTAAACATACAGCCTGCTACAAAACTGAAAGAGGGGGCAGCCTTTTTCCCCCTTCCCTTCAAACTTGCTAGTAAGATCAAGAACAAGTGTGTGTTTTATCTCACACACAAACACTTCCCTGCCAGGAATCTCTGTTGATACATAGAAATCACGTATTTCAATTGTGTTGTTCCACACCTGCTGCCTCAGGTAACAATGAAACACAAGGGAAGATGAAGAGTGGCCTCACAGAGAACAGTCAAATGGAAATTAAAAGGACTTTTTAAAAATTCCTTTATTTGTAGGGCTTGATCAATATTTTTTTTTATTGGATTGCTTACTTCCAAGTCCACTCCAAAGCTGTTCCGCTTTTCTCCATTCAGGAGATCCCTGCCATCTAAGGCACCAAAGGATCTTCTAGATTGGGATCACTCCACTCAACAGATGGACAAAAGTACTCCTGATATAGTTTAGTGCTGGAAACAACTATTTCCATAGACTATCATGATAAATGCTGCCATTACTATTAATAATTGCTTAAAAAACTCTTGCTGTAAACATAATTTGGTGGTTTGAAGGGATAATCTGTTAGGAATTGAATTGTCAAGAAAAATACTCCACCCTGACAGGACTTGTCAAGTGATCCTTGTGCAGAGGTGATTGTTTTTAAACACTCACACACTCTGCTGCATCTCATTCGCACTTTCCCCAGCCAAACTGATACACACAAGTGCATTTATCATTCCTGAAAATAACTTCACACATATTCATCATCACAAGACAAAAATCACATTTTGCATGGTTTACTTACTGCAGCACGACGGACATACACAGGATGGGAAAGGTGCACATTATTGAGCAGGAACAAAATAGAATCCAAAGTGTAGTATTCCCTGGGCTGGCCCTCTTTCCCTGTCCTGTAACACAAGAAAAGGTTGTAGCATTTAATTTCTCCATCTCTGTCTCAAGCACATCCTCTTTTAGAAAAGGTCTCTTTTCTTTCCAGATGACAGTTTAAAAAGCAAGCAGTTAACATTATTATCAGTTATTGCCAAACTAGTGAGCTCTCAATTGTGCTAAAGATTTCACGTGAGGGAGATGAGTTCTTGCTGCCTCTTTAATGAATGAATTATTTAAAAAAACCTTCCCAAAATAAGAGTTGGATGTGCTGTAAAATAAATAAGCGAGACTTGGGAAATGTAAGTACACATTCCCTCTCATTCACAGTATTTATTCTGATTATCAAAGGAACTGTCTATCATATGTGAGACAGCCAGACAAACAGAACTGAGCTGCAAATGAAATAAAGCATTACATCATCTTCAGGTACAACAGGCCAGAACGCTCAGCACTGGAGAAAGCACAGTGTGAACCTGGGACATATAAATCCCACAAAGTCTAGGGAGCAAAGGGTTCAAAACAGTGCCCAAAGATTAAAATAGGGAGTGACTACAAACTAACTGCACAATAAAATCAGCAAAATGTTGAAGGACACAAAACCCCATACTGAAGTCAGACCACATCAGAGCAACACAACAGCATCAAGTTCAATCTGAGCTTTCAAACAGCTTGTTTCAAAGATACAGCTCTTAAGGCTAAAAGGGAACTTGCTCTGTGCAGCTATTCACAAAAAAAAAAAAAAAAAAAAAAAAAAAAAAAAAAAAAAAAAAAAAAAAAAAAAAAAAAAAAAAAAAAAACCACAAACAAACCACACCAAACAAGGCCAAATAAATGCTTGGCTCAGCCTGGCTCCAAGTACATTGAACAGAATTCCCCCCTCTCACCCATTATGCTGTTACTACAAGATTTTTTAGGGAAGCAATGCCTGTCCGTGTTTCAAAACCCCCATTCCCTAAACACTGCCAGTGCTCTGAGAAACAGCCCTGGCAGCCAGAAAAGCAGCAAGGGCAGCAATTCCACTGCCCAGCCCCACTGTGGGACATGTCCAACCCCAGCTCCAGGCAGGACAGGGCTCCTCCACACTGCCCAGTCCCTGTCCCTGACCAGCTGGCTCACCTTAAAGCCTGAGCAAGAGAAGCCACCACAAAACCAGCCCAAAGCTATAAAGTTAAGACTGGCAGAGAATTTTCAATAAACAAGAAATTTCAGGAAGAAACCCTTTCATTAAAAGAGTTTTCCCTGTAAGTACAGTGGCTTTACTCATGGCTCATCATCAGCACCAAAACACACAGCACAGAAGTGCCAGCCTCGCTAGGGGAAGGGAGAGGAAATAAATACTCAGTCACAACTTTATGGAGCCTGGAAGAGCCACACAAAAATCTACTAAACCAACAGAAGTGAAAGCCTGTTTTCTCAGTACTGTGGATTTAATGCCACCTACTGCTTTGCTTGTCATTACTTTTCTGAAATTAGCTAAGAGTGCCCAATAACCTGTTCAGAACTTATTATCAGCACTAAAGTTCAAAACCTCACCTTCACAATGATGCCTGAGAAAACCAATGTAAGAATAACATCCAGAGAAAAGGGATTCAGGATACCAGAACTGTAGAATAAAGGGTCTCTCTTACCACTGTCCCTTCCTTCCAAAAACCTGGTGTGCTTGAGGTGGAGGGTGCCTGTACTTTTTGTTGCTGCAGAGGAAAGGGAGCAGACACACAGCATTTTTCTTTCAACTGCTAAGAAGCCAAAACTTGGCTTCACAACTACAGGCAGCCACCAGAACTGGATTCCTCAGCAAGGAACTGTTTGAACAAGCAGCAAAGCAGTAAGGATCTCTGATAAGGTGGTATCTGAACACACTGGAAGCACTAGCAGAAACAAAAGCTTCCTCTACACAGGCTTGGCTCAGAAGCAAAGCCATGATGTCACATGATGCAGCTGTCACTTCATTTTAAACAAACACTGCAGACTGTCTTAGTCCAGAATCACTCATTATTTCTTTGAAGTGTGCCATATGCACTGAGCATGACAGAGAAATCCAGCTGGTCATCTACTCAAGCTTTACAATATTTAGCAAGAAATGACAAAATACCAAAACAAACAAATCCTGAACCATTATGTACTAATTGAAACAATACAGTGTTACAAAGGCACAGGCATTGCCAAAGCTCAGCAGGGCACAGCTGGTACTTCATCACTTCAGCCACACACACAAGAATTGCCCGTGCTCATTATGGCTCTAAGAGGATGTTTTTTTAGAAGCACAAGATATTGCGCATTAATAGGAAATCATCAGATGGACAAGCAGTTGCACACAAGGAGAAAATCTAAGCCTAAACTGACATTTCAACATCAGTGTGTGCTCCTGCTGAATAATCAGGGAACTAAAAACAGGCAGATCTGAGGGTAGCTTGCCTCATTCAATTTACAAACATCCCAAGTAGAAATAGAAATTAATTCTGTTATTTCCCACATTCAGTTATGGTATCAATTACAATTAGAAAAGAAAAATCTTAGGAGGCAGACCTCAACAAATTTATTAACAATCATTAAGTAAAAATGTAAGGAACAATTTAATCTCTTACAAAATAAACTCCAGCTAAAAATTGAGAAAATGTTTATATAATAAGAGAGTAAGTTTCACCTGGTAATTTTCAACCCCAGAAACTGACTTCTTTCTCATCCATTCACCTCCCACCTGTGGGCACCAGGAATTTATTCATTTCTAACAGCTTTATTTCCTTTTTCCTGTTTCAAAGCCTGAAGTTTACAGAGGTACCAAGGACCCATGTCTCATCCACAAAACCAAGCAGAAATCTTTAAAACCACAAGACAAAGCACACTGAGTATCACACAACAGACAATACCCAGGGCCAGCTGCTCACTGTTTGCAAACTCAGCTGCATCTCCAAGCCCTTGACTAGGCAAACAAAGCAATAAATTTCTCTGGTAGATTGATTCCTTCCTTTGGTTTTGAAACACATTCATTAATCACTCTTCAGGGCCCATAGGTCAAAACACACAAACCACTTCACCTCAGACCACCTCGCCTTTTTCGTGTGCCAGCAGAAGCATCCCTATAATTATTATCTGGAAACTAAACTGGAATAAAGTTGCTTTTCCCCCCACTTTTTTTCCCCCCTCCAGGTTACCTTTACCTTGGCTTGATTCCTCAGCCCAGTTCCCTGTTTGGGTGACACTTGTGCCAGAGAGAGAGAAGGCAATGCAGGGCAGCACTGCTGACTCCTGCCAGCTAAGCTGCCCGAGGAGCCACAGCTAAATGTCTCCTGGGACTACTGCTAATTCGAGCAGGGACAAATGCCACTGCTGCTCTTCAGCCTGGCATTACTCTCCTCAGGCTGGAGATGCAATTACAGCTGGGGACACCTAAAACAGAACTCGAGGTTTGCTCTGTGAAAGATTAAGCCACCCACACCTGCTCAGTGCAAGCATAATTTGGGTCCTGTCAAGTGACCTGAATATAAAAGGGTTTGAATCTTGAAAGTTTCTGAGAATGTCCCTCCTGAGTGTAGCAATTACCTAAATTAGCAGCTCTTGAAGTGCGGTGTTCAAGCTACTGAGCACGGCTTGCAGAACTGGTCTCATTTTTACAGTGTCTTCAATTCAAAGCTGAGACATGCAAAATGCCACAGTGCTTGACAAGAAATGCTGTGAACTGAGAGCAGTCTGGTCCTACCAAAAGCTCAGAAGCCACTGGTCTAAACCAAGATTTAAAGAACAAAACCCCTCAAATTCCACCACAGTGTACCCCAGGTGAGCACTCTCAGCTCTGGCAGGAGCTGCTGCTGCTCTGTTCACCCACACATCCTTCTTGACCAGGAAGATAAACCTGCCTGGCTCTACATAGCAAAGTTTGCTCTCCAGCTGCTTTTAGGGTTTTGGTAACAATTTCTGGGTCTAATCCAAGCTCTCCTGTTTCTTGTTCCCTGCAGAAGGGCAATGCAACTTGTTTGTCCACTTAACCACTACGTGTTACCACTTGGGAAAAGTAACTTGTAGCAAGGAAATCACCACATCTGTCTACACATTGCCCAGCAAAAACACAGCCAAGACTTTTAACTGCTTGTCCAAATATTTTTCTTCCTCTTAGGTCTACATACCAGTACCCCCCACTCAGCCAGGAAGCATAAATAACTCCAAAACTAGTTTTTGAAAGCTCAAAGCAGGTAATGAAAAAGCACATTTCTAGTAATATATTAAGGTACAAAGTAAAATCAGCTATGAAAAGTCCACCTACTACTGAAGATAAGCAAGTAGGCTTAATTCCTTTCTCTCTCTCAATCTACGGCCAGTAATAGTCATATCATAATTATGAGGGGAAAAAATAATATTTCCTGGTCAGACTTCACTGCAAGTTTGGGATTTTTTGAGAAATCTGCAGGCATTTCTGCTATTCAACAAAGGTTTTTTGAATAGCACCTGAGCTTTATTTTTCCCTGTTAAGTTTGAAAAGGATTCATTGAAACTCTTCTAGTTAGGACACCAAGAAGCAGCAGCTGCCAAATTCTGAGGAAAGGCAAACAAAAAAACTCCTTTGCAATGTAAACAATCCACGCTATACTAGGAAAATTCAACAGGTAAAACCCCTCATTTTCTAGAGGCTTTCTAAAACCAGGCATTTCATCTGCTACAATCATTTAAGCCACGTAAACTCTCTCTCTCTACTTGTTTATTACGATAAGAACAACCAGGGAACAGCCTGCACCGGGTCCTGCCCAGGAAGAGGCCTCAGGTGGGGGCAGCACACCTGCACAGCTCATCAGAGGGAATCGGTCCGGGCCTCGCTGCCCTGCTCCCGCTGCTTTGGCAAAGGAGCAGCCCCGACAGCCCAGGACAGAACCACAGCCGGTGCTGAGCGGGAAGGGACCCATCGGGATCACCGACTGCAGCTCCCGGGCCCGCGCAAAGCGCCCCAATACCCCACCGTGCGCCCGAGAGCGTTGTCCGAGCAACAACACACCGCGTCTATTTCACCCAACACCGGAAAAACTTGGGA